ATGGGTGAATGTGAGTGGAATTAAAAGAAAAAAACTTTAAAATCATAAAAATAATAGAAAATGGCTAATTAACAAGAAATAAACATTCTAAGAGAAAAGAATATTTCCAATTTATTAGTTTCAATTTTAAATTCAGGAGAACACAAATTCAAATTTAAGAGAAACTAAACGTTTTAAGAAGAAATATCAATGGCAAAACATTTAATTACAGCTTTTATCTTTATGATCAGTTAGTGAAATGTAAAAGAAAATAAAATGTTTTAGGAAACAAAATGGATGCATTTACAAGAACACAAATGAATAAAAGTCAATAGTCAAAAAGAATTGAAACAAATTTTGAGCTTTAGTCTATTTTTTGTATTTTAAAATATGAAATATATTGCGATAAAACTTTAAAAAATTAATCCTTTAAAGGATTGTCCTCAGTTTGTCTTTAAGTCAGTGTTCTGTGGTTTTTAAGAAGCTACATGAAATATTTTAAAATCATCACTGAATATAATGTATAATCTAAATTATTTGCATTATTTTGCTAGACAGTATTTTTGAGCAATTCCAGTTATTTCCTCACTCCTAAAATACTTTTAATTGATCGGACACTTGTGTTATTTATATATTACCAATCATAAGTATTACATTTATTTATGACAAGAAACTGCAGTTCCTTAAATAGTATCCACTGAGTTCTAGACACTTTGCTCAGTAACTGTGTTTTATTGCCATGTGGATGCTTTCAGAACATACTGATTAGATTATAAATCAAATTACATCCTGTAAACAGGTGGTTCTGCTTGAGAAAAACAACAAAAACATCTGCAGTGACATTAAGAACAAAAAAGTAAAAATGTCATAATAAACTGACAAACAGCAGTCCGATTGTCCCTTTTTTGTCGGTCTTTATTTTCCTGCTGCTGTTGTACATTTTTCATACAGTAGTGAACTTGTATATGTAATTCACAAATTTGTACAAGTAATGCAGACATTTTACCTAAAACAAAAAAACCAAATGAAATAAACAAACAGCTACGGTCATGTTAATAGAAATGCATTTTTTCACTCTTTCACACTGAAACAACTGATTTACTTAAAAAAGAAAAAAGAAGAATAAAAAGAGCCTCTATTACATCAATGAAGCCACCATTATCACATATCACTGCAGGGTGGAACATTTATTGCTTGATAAATAAAGATGTTACATCTTATGATACCAAAGCTCCTATTCACTACGCTAACTATTAAAACGGAGTTGTACTGTATCAGAGTTATTCTTTACAAGCGTTACTCCATCAAACAAAAGGAAGCTGTAATAGAAAAAACAAACAAACAAACAAAAAACTGCAGCCACGACATCCACGTCGGAGAAAATGTTGTGTGAGGTTAGAGGACTTTAAAGGTACTTTTTGTAAAAAAAAACAAAAAAGAAACAAAAAGTGTAATGCAAACGTTCACCACCAGGAGGTGGTGTTTCACCAGGAAGCACAGTTATCCGCCCCAAACAGCGCCACCTTCTTCTGTGTAAGTTTAAAATGATATCTGATCAGACCTCTAGCTTATCTAAAGTTTCTGTTCGCTTTATAAAAACACTACAGAGTCTTTTAGCTACCAAACGAGCCAGGTCAGTGTGACAGAGAGGACACTATACTGACTCACTGCTCCACCTTGTGGTCCAAAGTGGTATTACAGGAGTACGGCTCAGCCTTGCTTTAGCTGACATCTCTGCCACAAAATACAAAGATGTTGATTTCCATCCGTCTGTGTATCCAGATCACGGTTGTGGGGTCTGCAGTCTAAGGAGACCTTCCTCTTCCAGCCACTTAATCCAGCAGACAGCCCTGAAACACCTCGCTAAAGGAGGAAGCTGAACTACCTAAACTGACTCCTCCTACCCTGAGCTAATCGCCCTCTCTCTAATGGAGATCCCAGAAATCCATAGGAGGAAACTCCTTTTTTCATTGCTGCTTATACCCTTGAACTCATTCTTCTGGTCAGATCTACAACAATTCACGCTCACAGTAACCCAACACGCTCGTCTTTGGACTTGTAAATCATCTTCACACAACGGGCTGTTTTTACAAAAAGCACCTTTAAGCGGTTTGAAGCAGGTCAGTCGCTGTGAATCAAAGCTTCACTTTCTACAGTAGAAGAAAATGTAGAATCAGTTTCTTTTTTCACACACTTCACCATTAAGCTGGGAAGTGAAACGAGGAACTTGGATCAGAACGTCAGACATCTGAACAACGGTAAATTGTACAGATCTGCTGATTGGGCTCTCTCCCCCTCCCTTCCCTCCTGATTCTGACATCTGCTGATTGAAAAGACAGCACAAGTAATCAAACTGGTTATCTTTATGTGTACAGCTGGTTAATGCTGGGAGAAAACTGGTTACATCTGGTAAACCCAAACAGTGGATTTTACAGGGAGAATGTAGTTTAACTGCGACTCCAACGAACAGTTAGCAGGTCATTCAAAGAAGTGAAACAGGTTTAAGCACAACAGCATGAAATCATCAGTGCTGATCATGACGTCACTGCTGAACACAAAGAGAGAATCTTAGTGGGATTCTTCAGGTTATAATAATTTGATTCTGCCTTTTATTGCCGCTCGTTCCTCCTCTCTGCCAAGGAAACAAAAATCTTCATTAGAAAAATAACTGATCTGTTTTTAGCCTCTTTCAGATCTCCATCAACTCCTTTTTATCTCAAGCTCAAGACTGGCGTCACACAACAGTATCGGCCCACTGACACGGTTAAACTGCATTTTGTTTGCCATATGACCCGTTTGAGGAGGAGCAGCTGTAAATCGTCCTGCTGGATCATGAATTTCATTTCACTTCTAATAAAAATATGGGCATTTTTAAAAAGGATGACTGGGTCAGGTTTTATTCTTATAGTTTTGACCAGTAAACCAACTCAACTGAAGCCTCGCTGCTTCTTTAAGGGTTTATGTTTTGGGAGGAGGAGGAGGAGGAGGAGGAGGAGGAGGGGGTTATAGCTTCATTTGATGCTTTTTGCATCAGTGTTAATTTGGTGGAAACGCTCGTCTGTAAATATGTTAGAATCTCAGTGATTTTGATAATAACCCAAAAAACAGACCATGAGCTGTGAATCTGATCGTCTGTTTCTCATACATCACAATTTAAAAAAAAAATACTGGAAAGTTTTTTTATTATTGCAAAATATTAAATGTGTGCACGCCGGTGCATCATTTTTCTGGTTTTTCCACGTACAAATTGTGGTGACCACATCACATGTTTCTAGTTTCAGCCTCTGAAATGCAGAACTTGGTGCTTTTCTCCATTTTAAGTCACAGAGAGCTGAAAGTCTTTGGGTTTTGGGAAGTATGGAAGACAAAAAAAAACTCTGAGGATTCTGCTTGAGACTTTTTTGACAAATAAAAATCACATAATGCGATTAATTTATTTAAAAAGTCTGAAAACGCTCCCATCACCATCTGTCCTACTGGATTTAACTGAATGTGGCGACATAAAGTTTGGATTATATTTTGCCGTCCGTCGTCCAAAATATTTTGTCTAACCTTGATGTTAGTTTCTAACCCGACTGCTCGCACTTCCTGTTTGTACCACAGGTTGAAATGATGGTCAAAACTATGAAAATAAAGCCCGAGTTGGACCAAATTGTCTTCATCTTGTAGATTATCTTTACAAATGTTGATTTTTTATCCTGAACATGAGCACTGACTTCATGCCAATCAGCGAGTGACTGTTTAAAACTGAAGTTTAGTTCTGATCAGTGTTACTCAGGCCTCACTGCTGGGGGGGCATGTTGTCCATGTTGTCCACCGTCTTGATGATGACAATCTGCTCCAGCGTCTGTGCGGGCGAAGGCGGCGGCCGCAGCTGCTCCACCAGCGCGTGCAGCGTGTCCGAGTTGATGGTCTGCTCCTGATCGGCGTCGAAGGTCACCTGCTCTGCGGTGGTGAGAGGGGTGTGCGTGGGCTCCGCCTTGAAGTCCTGGATGATGGCGGCGGCGTCCGTGACGCTGTCGGCGGTCACGCTGTCGGCGGTCGCGGTTGCAGCAGAGTCAGTGGCGGCGACGTCGGAGGCGGCCGCGGTGGGGTCGGTGGCTTTGGGGTTGGGAGTGGCCGGTTCGGGGTTGGCCGGCTCGCCCTCGGGGATGGAGCCCAAACCTTTGCTCTCCTGGGAGAGCTTGCTCTGGACGAAGGCCACAGGATGGCTGGTGGACAGCAGGACCACTGCTCAAACACACAAAACCCAGTCAGACACTCACTGCTGAGCAGCCAGAAGACAACATGGAAACAACAGTTTTACTGCCTGTTCTTTAAAACGCCCCAAAGCAGAATTGGGAGCTTTGCTGTTGTGCCTTTAAGCACTGCACACTTGTTTACCCTTTAAGACCTACCATAGAACCAAGTCCGCCAGAGCTTATATTATATGTTTACATGCTGTGGAGCCATTTGTGGGAGCATTTCAAGTTGCTATACATCAATACAACCATTACAGCCTAAATTTTAATAATATTT